TGATTCCTTTCCTGGCTAAATTGCTGTGGATAATTGAAACGCACACACATAGAGAATGTAATCTCTTCATTTGACATTCAACCCTTTCCCCTCCCCCCAATGAAACGTACATATTTACTCTATTAGTACGATAGTACATATGCTTACATAAATTGAATGTATTTCTATGGACAATATGTAATATTTTAATGATTCTGTGTACAACAAATGCAAAGAAGATTAAGTTTGTAATTCAGAATAAAAAACATATTAAATTTTTTTTGTTACTTAGTGAACTGAAGATTCTTGTTAAACATCACTATTTGAACACCTCTATGGTTAGCCAAAATAAATAGAGAAAACGACGTCTATAAGTGATGTTATAAATACGTCATACATTTCTTGTTATTATCTTATATGTTGTAGGATGTAGATGACTTGAAAACTGAGTTGCAGCGAAAAGATGCACTCGTACAAAAACTCCAAGCAAAGGTACAGCTTTGGCAAGAAAACTTAGCCAGTCTGCAAAGTGGACAAAATCAGATGATGGGAAGAATAAAACAAGAACCAACGGTTGGGACAGCTGCATTAGCAGTAATGGGACAGCAACGTCATATGCCAGCACAGCCACCTGTCCTGCCACCATTACAACAACACCATCCCACAGCTGGGAATCCCACAGGACATCCGAACACACCAACAGGGCACCCTAGCGGACAGTATATGGGACCCTTAGCACATTTAGAACAAGCAGCATCACAGTTTGGGATGCGATAGTATTAATGCAACAACACATTCCACATGATTTCTGAACACGATGTGCCATTGTCCAATTTCACTGCCCATCAGATCTGATCTTTGCTGAACAGTGTACCAGGCTTGTATGTGTAAATTTACCTGTTTACAGCTTATAAATGGTGCTTGGTTTCCGTAGTAACATATTTAGCATTGACAGTTTTCATATATAAGGAAAGCAGTAAATTTGTAATGTTCAATGTATAACTTTTGATCAACAGTGAACATCCGTATGCCGTGTATTACAAAAATTGTTATTTTTCAGACGGTTTTCATAGAACACAAGGTATTATTGCATTAACTTATTTTTTAAATAATCCAGACAACATAAGTACCCTGTCATTCATGTAAACATTAAATTTGTCATAGCAACCAAACCTGATGTCTTTGCAGTATTTTATATAACCAGCATTCTCTTGACAAATATTTTTCTGTTCCCTCCTCCTTCAAAACTGTTTTATACCAGGATATTAAAATTAGGACAAATTGAGAATATTTTCATCTATGATTTCTTTATATTGTATAAATATATATGATTACAAGAACATGATTTTCATCAGGTGTACTTCAGCCATTATGAAACTCACTTCAAAGCTGCTACTTATCATCACATAGGGTCTACAAAATTATTTTTCTCTAAAAGAAAATGGCTGTGTTCAGATGCTACCAATCAACATTAGATTTATTTTAGTCTTTCTCTGTTTGACATTACCCTTATCATCTTACTGACCAAAACAGATTAATAATTAAACTCAAAGACAATTCTATAATTCATCATTTTCTAAGAACAATTATTTTTTCATGGAAGGATACAAAAGCATAACATTTTTTATAATAATCGTTTATTTTGTAAACCTTACTGTATTACACACTCACAAATGAACAATTCTGATTTCTAAAAGATATTAACTTTTTACACAGCAAAGTAAAACACCATGATCAAATTCACTATGAACACTTAAATAGTTTATTCGTGTACCACTGCTTGCTGAATGTTTTTATGAATGTCTATACTTTCACACTGTAGTCTTCTTCGACAAATTAGAAACATATTCCACAAGTGTTCTAGTAGGTCTGCCTACAATAAAGTGAAACAACTTCATTAGAAAATTGAATTGGGAGGAAAAACATAAATTTTGTTTTATAGTGGCTGTTGAATATCATGAAACATTGAATGACCTTATCTATATATCTGTGCCAGGCAGCCAAACTAGAGTTTGACCAGTGATGCCAATGTTTTTGATACAGGTTTGTAAACCCCAAAACCAATCCCTTCTAGTGTGCCACACCATCAGAGATCATCCTGACCAAACCCTTCTAATGTGTCACACCATCAGAGCCCATCCCCTTCTAATGTGTCACACCATCAGATCCATCTTGACTAAACCCTTCTAATGTGTCACACCATCAGAGATCATCCAGACCAAACCTTTCTAACGTGTCATATCATCGGATCATATCCTGACCAAACCTACCTAATGTGTCACACCATCAGAGCCCATCCTGACCAAACCCTTCTAATGTGTCATATCATCGGATCATATCGTGACCAAACCTACCTAATGTGTCACACCATCAGAGCCCATCCAGACCAAACCCTTCTAATGTGTCACACCATCAGTCTGAGAGCCCATCCAGACCAAACCCTTCTAATGTGTCACACCATCAGAACCCATCCTGACCAAACCCTTCTAATGTGTCACACCATCAGAGCACATCTTGACCAAACCCTTCTAATGTGTCACACCATTAGACCACATTCTGACCAAACCCTTCTAATGTGTCACACCATCAGATCCCATCCTGACCAAACCATTCTAATGTGTCACACCATCAGAGCCCATCCTGACCAAACCCTTCTAATGTGTCACAACATCAGAGTCTATCTTGACCAAACCCTTTTAATGTGCCACACCAAAAGAGCACATCCTGACCAAACCCTTCTAATGTGTCACACCATCAGAGCCCATCCTGACCAAACCCTTCTATTGTGTCACACCATCAGAGCCCATCCTGACCAAACCCTTCTAATGTGTCACACCATCAGAGCCCATCCTGACCAAACCCTTCTAATGTGTCACACCATCAGAGCCCATCCTGACCAAACCCTTCTAATGTGTCACACCATCAGAGCCCATCCAGACCAAACCCTTCTAATGTGTCACACCATCAGAGCACATCTTGACCAAACCCTTCTAATGTGTGACACCATTAGACCACATTCTGACCAAACCCTTCTAATGTGTCACACCATCAGAGCCCATCCTGACCAAACCCTTCTAATGTGTCACACCATCAGAGCACATTCTGACCAAACCCTTCTAATGTGTCACATCATCAGAACCCATTTTAACCAAACCTTTCTAATGTGTCACACCATCAGAGCCCATCCAGACCAAACCCTTCTAATGTGTCACACCATCAGAGCCCATCCTGACCAAACCCTTCTAATGTGTCACACCATCAGAGCCCATCCTGACCAAACCCTTCTAATGTGTCACACCACCAGAGCCCATCCTGACCAAACCCTTCTAATGTGTCACATCATCAGAGCCCATCCTGACCAAACCCTTCTAATGTCTCACACCATCAGTCTGAGAGCCCATCCAGACCAAACCCTTCTCATGTGTCACATCATCAGAGCCCATCCAGACCAAACCCTTCTCATGTGTCACATCATCAGAGCCCATCCTGACCAAACCCTTCTAATGTGTCACACCATCAGAGCCCATCCAGACCAAACCCTTCTAATGTGTCACACCATCAGAGCCCATCCTGACCAAACCCTTCTAATGTGTCACACCATCAGAGCCTATCCTGACTAAAGCCTTTTAATGTGCCACACCATCAGAGCACATCCTGACCAAACTCTTCTAATGTGTCACACCATCAGAGCCCATCCTGACCAAACCCTTCTAATGTGTCACACCATCAGAGCCCATCCTGACCAAACCCTTCTAATGTGTCACACCATCAGAGCCCATCCTGACCAAACCCTTCTAATGTGTCACAACATCAGAGCCCATCCTGACCAAACCATTCTAATGCGTCACACCATCAGAGCCTATCCTGACCAAACCCTTTTAATGTGCCACACCATCAGAGCCCATCCTGACCAAACCTATCTAATGTGTCACACCATCAGAGCCCATCCTGACCAAACCCTTCTAATGTGTCACAACATCAGAGCCCATCCTGACCAAACCCTTCTAATGTGTCACACCATCAGAGCCTATCCTTTCCAAACTTATCTAATGTGTCACACCATTAGAGCCCATCCTGACCAAACCCTTCTAATGTGTCACACCATCAGAGCCTATCCTAACCAAACCCTTTTAATGTGCCACACCATCAGAGCACATCCTGACCAAACCCTTCTAATGTGTCACACCATCAGAGCCCATCCTGACCAAACCCTTCTAATGTGTCACACCATCAGAGCCCATCCTGACCAAACCCTTCTAATGTGTCACACCATCAGAGCCCATTCTGACCAAACCCTTCTAATGTGTCACACCATCAGAGCCCATCCTGACCAAACCCTTCTAATGTGTCACACCATCAGAGCCCATCCTGACCAAACCCTTCTAATGTGTCACACCATCAGAGCCCATTCTGACCAAACCCTTCTAATGTGTCACACCCTCAGAGCCCATCCTGACTAAACCCTTCTAATGTCTCACACCATCAGAGCCCATCTTGACCAAACCCTTCTAATGTGTCACACCATCAGAGCCTATCCTGACCAAACCCTTCTAATGTGTCATACCATCAGAGTCCATCCTGACCAAACCCTTCTAATGTCTCACATCATCAGAGCCTATCTTGACCAAACCCTTCTAATGTGTCACACCATCAGAGCCTATCCTGACCAAACCCTTCTAATGTGTCATACCATCAAAGCCCATCCTTAATATGGCAAAAGAATTACTAATAATGCTTAAGCTAATATTATTGTTTCATTAATAATTTCCATGAGAACATTTAGGAATATAATGAACATACAGTTGGAGTTAAAAGAACAAGGGAAATGAAATACATTGGTCAACACTTAAAAAGGATGGAGTGACATCAAATAACTCTATCCTCTCACATTATAACTTGACAGTAATATGATCATGTTCCAAAACTGAACAAATCTGCTTGCAGTACCCTGGAGTATTGAACAATAATTACAACCTACATTAATTTGCATGAAAACAGATATGTGATTGCAATAAAATTTGACTCACCAGTCATTCCATTTCCTAAGTACGGCACCTCATCTTTATTTAACATGACACCTGCAACATCCAAATGTGCCCAATTTTGACAAGTAACAAACTCTCTCAGAAATGCTGCTGCTGTACATGCACCACCATCCCTAGAATAAAAAAAAACAGGCATATAGTGTCAAAATATTCAAAAAGTCATGAGATGAACAATATTTGATTTCTTTGCTATTAGAATATTTGTTAAAAATTCAATCAAATGTTCAGGTGCATTTTTTGTATTTTATATTTACTATATGTTTTATTTTGTATTTTTTGCTGTTTTTCATTATGTACACTATTTTAAAACAAATTTACAAATCAACGTGGTATACATCAATTACTCATAATGGTTGATCCACCAAGTTAAACAACACATCCCAAGATTTCAAAATATCTCATTTTAATGGTCAGAAGTTAGCCATCTTTGATCGGATGGCAGAATTATTTTATGTGTATGGGTAAGTCATCATGTATAGTCAATGTACAAACTATGAAGTGAATTACTCAAAGCATGCATTAAAATTTGTCAATAACAAAATGGTCACCAGTTGGCCATTCTGTGTCAGACTCACATATCCATGCTTGTGTATATGTATCAGACTAGGTGCAAGCTTTGAAGATATTCGGTCGAAGTATGTATAAGATAGCTCTTATTGCAGGCAGACATGCATAGACTAATCCATGAGTCCTCAGACTTTGTACAGAGGCTAAAAACAAAAGAAACCCAACCTAGGATCTTGTTTCAATTGGATAAAGAATTTGCTATGCTCCAAATAAATAAGATCAAATGAAAAATAACTCACCTTGCACTTTTGCCGATATTGTTCACATCAGCTAATTGAGAGTCTGATATTTGTTTGGTATAATGTTGTAATAATGGCATTCTCCACAGTCTATCACCTGTGTCTATTCCCGCCTTAAAAATAAAAACATAATTACAAAAAAAAATTAAATATAGATTAAAACATGTACTACCATTGTTTATATCCTCATTGTCTTGTCTATTAGAATTGTGGAGTATCAGTATGTAGATTCCTGCAAATATGCAAATATGCATGATTATGCAGACTATTTTGCTTTTTCCCAATAATTTGGGGGATTCTTACATGTGGTATAGCTTTGAAATTTGAAATTATTAAGCCCCCAGACTGCCTACAGATAAAACATGTAATATTGTTTAGAGCTGCAAGTGCCAATGAAGCTGCATCTGTACCTTAGTTTGTGTCAGCTGGCTCATCACCAACTTAGCACCATGCAGCAATTACAAATACTCCCAGTTTCTGCTGAACATATATGTATACCTGCAAAAACTGGGTGTATTTGGGATATTATTTTGTAGCCACCTACTAATCTACAAGGATTGGTAACATATGAGAATAAGAAGAAATTATTGCATCGTAGGTCAAAGTATAAATGTCACGCTAAGAGCAACGTCTGAAAAGAACCAAGAAACAATGATGATAATCACCTTGTGTAGGTTCATCCACAAGTTATTGGAGTTTGTGAACACAGCAGAGACGGCAGATCCTAAAGCAACTTGTATAGCACCTAGAAGATGATACAAAATATACTATATTAGAAGTGCACTGTGCTAAGCAGGATTACTGGTATATTCCATTTTTGTTTATGTTTGTTTGCCAGGTGACAATCTCAGACATTGAATGTCACTGCTGTCTCTTCTTACTTTTTTACGCACAAATTAAATGTGCATTTGCCACAGAAATCATATTCCATTATTGGGACTATGTGACATGAGACTACTCTTATCATAATGGCATTATGGCAATTTAACTCCTATTCTGGCATCAACCAAATCTGAACTTAGGGCCCCCCAAATTAGCATCCCATTAGTAAATGAATCTTGGCCAGTGGATTCAGCCCTTTGTCCCACTCACCCAGGGTAGGGGTCAAACCTTATTATAGTGTTCAACCCAAGGTAGGATTTAAATCATATATCCAATGCAATGACCACAACACAACCAGTGACCGGCTCCTTTCAAGGATTTGCTGAAATTTGAGAAAAGACTTATATTTCATCACACAAAATGAGGATGAAGTAAAAACCTGTGATGGACAAATCAATAAGTGTTTACCTTCTATCCATTTTTTTCCAGCCAATGTTTTAAACACATGTTCACCATTTGAATGCAACAATTTTCTTTCCAAAATATTTGCATACAATGTTGTTCCACTTCTAATTTCTCACTCTATTTTTACAAGTAAGGCAAGTTATGTCTAATTTTATTTCTAATTCTAACTGTCTGTACATCCTAACTGTCTTGAAACATAGCCAGTGAATGGTTGAATTCACAACATCCAATCAGCAGCAGCTTTACAAAATGTCTTGTTTTTTCAAACATAGCAGCCATCCAGAAAAATTTGTAATTATACGGCTGGTAGTTAGGTTCTATATTATCATATAATTCCCTGCTTTCATGTTTAATTGCACATTTTAAACCTTTTAGCTGCTATCTATGTAATTCCTTACCTGTCAAAGTTGCAACATTTATAATTACTTCTGGTTTATGCACAGAACACCCATAATGCAATGCATCAGCCAATAGTAATCTTCCCTCAGCGTCAGTATTGTCAACCTGCAATACAGGTAAGACCCCTTAAGTTGGTCATTACTACAACTAACTTATTTCTCTGTTGTCTAAAGAGCCCTCTTAAGTTGGCTTTTAATATCATTCAACTTGCTTATCTTTGGTTACAATGGCATCTGACATTTGAAGTACTTATCTGGCTTAATTTAAAATCATTTGCATTATATACAACATCCAACATTTTGAGAATGTTTACAGAAATTTTCCATAAAACATTATTATGTATATTTAATAAAATGATTTTAAGGAAGAAATATAAAATATAGTTTTGAACACATTCAACATGAGTGTTGTCATATAGGTGATTTTCTGTTAAACTACGAGGTCTCGCAAGTTGCGTGAAAATTGTGAGCTGAACATCTGCCGCAAAAAAGGAATGATTTGTTTGAACTTGAATTTTGTAGCTCTCATCAAAACTCCGAACTTTGACAGGGGGAATATTGCCTTTGAACACCCTTTCTTCATCGAAACTGATCATCATCAAATGTGTACAGCACATTAATAAGCATGGAAATATCTCCAAAATACTTTTTGCGTTTGTTGAATCCCACGCGATGTTTGTCGCCACTATGACGCTATGACCTTTGTTTGTCCTGTTTTTACATTTGATTTCATGCATAACGCAGAATCTCGCAGAGAACAGAAAATGGTCTATTTCAATGTAACCTAAATTAACAAGATAAGACAATACATCTGAGAAGTGTAAATATACAAAAACAAACCTGTATAGTTTTGCCGTTCATCGCAGTCACAACATCACCTGGCCTTGTCGCTTCGCCATTCACCATGTTCTCACAAAGAGGAACTAAAGTAACAACATTTATCGGAAGCTGTAGTGTGGCTATGGCAGCCATGGATGCTGTTACTACAGCGGCACCTCCCATATCACCTCTCATTAGGTCCATCTGTGCTGAAGGCTTAATCGAAATGCCACCACTACAATCAATATAAAGATATATCTAGAAGTGAGTAATGAAATTATCTAATAATATTTTTACTTATCAAGTAATTTTTTTTTCTTTAGTTATTTAGTGTAGTACTTTCATCGTAATCTAAATTCTGATTTTTTTTTTTAAATATTGTCCTGTAATTAAACATTTGCAGGTACAGAATCCTTAGACCAATTAACAACACATTCTTATGTACCATTCAAATTTCACTCAAATGTGACTCATTTACCAACTATTCTCACTTACCAGTCAAATGTTACTCCTTTACCAAATATTATCACTTACCAGTCAAATGTGACTTCCTTGCCAACTATTTTCACTTGCCAGTCAAATGTTACTCCCTTGCCAACTATTTTCACTTGCCAGTCAAATTTGACTCACTTGTAACTACTCTCACTTACCAGTCAAATGTCACAAATGTTACCAAATATTATCACTTACCAGTCAAATGTTACTCCCTTGCTAACTATTTTCACTTACCAGTCAAATGTGACTCCCTTACCAGTCAAATGTTACTCCCTTACCAACTATTGTCACTTACCAGTCAAATGTCACTCCTTTACCAAATATTATCACTCACCAGTCAAATGTTACCCCTTGCCAACTATTTTCACTTGCCAGTCAAATGTCACTCCTTTACCAAATATTATCACTTACCATTCAAATGTTACTCCCTTGCCAACTATTTTCACTTGCCAGTCAAATGTGACTCCCCTACCAGTCAAATGTTACTCCCTTACCAACTATTGTCACTCACCAGTCAAATGTTACCCCTTGCCAACTATTTTCACTTGCCAGTCAAATGTTACTCCCTTACCAACTAATTTCACTAACCAGTCAAATGTGACTCCCTTACAACTACTCTCACTTACCAGTCAAATGTCACTCCTTTACCAAATATTCTTCCTTACCAGTCAAATGTGACTCCTCTACAACTAATCTCACTTACCAGGTAAATATGACTCCTTTACCAACTAATCTCACTTACCAGTCAAATGTGACTCCTTTACCAACTAATCTCACTTACCAGTCAAATGTGACTCTTTTACCAACTAATCTCACTTACCAGTCAAATATGACTCCTTTACCAACTAATCTCACTTACCAGTCAAATGTGACTCCCTTACAACTACTCTCACTTACCAGTCAAATGTCACTCCTTTACCAAATATTCTTCCTTACCAGACAAATGTGACTCCTCTACAACTAATCTCACTTACCAGGTAAATATGACTCCTTTACCAACTAATCTCACTTACCAGTCAAATGTGACTCCTTTACCAACTAATCTCACTTACCAGTCAAATGTGACTCTTTTACCAACTAATCTCACTTACCAGTCAAATGTGACTCTTTTACCAACTATTCTCACTTACCAGTCAAATACGACTCCCTTACCAACTATTTTAACTTGCCAGTCAAATTCGACTCCCTTACCAATTATTTTCACTTACCAGTCAAATGTGACTCCTTTACCAACCAATACTAGTGGTTTGCTATCATGCACTCCTCCCATGTATTTCATCTCCAGAAACACGGGTGGTTGGGAGGACCCCTTAGATACACTTAAAAAAGCATTCATTTTTTGGTTTTCAATCCAGTCTTTAGTTCTGAAATTAAACATATTGCAAAAAATTAGTGACTATAAAAAAAGAAACGAGAAAAAAAATGTCATTTTGTATTTTTCTCATAATTCCAATTATTTATTAGGTGTAGTGAGCATGTATGGAAATTAGACACAGGAGTAATTTTATTGTGACAATTAAGTTTCTGTAATGAGTAAACAGAAACAACATTACTGAGTTCATCTCCTAG